ATGTGAGCATCTGGACATGAGGGTCTGGGCTAAAGGTACACATGCGTGAGTCTTCTGAAGACAGAAGAAGACTGAACCCATGGGTATGGATGAGATTGCCTGCAGAGATGAGGACCCAGAACCAAACCTCAGGGCAGGCCTAGACAGGGAGGATGAGCCTCCATGACATTTATTACATGTGCAATTACTGACCTATTTACTGTCTGTCTTTGCCAGAAGATATAAGCTCAGTAGAGCAGAGACTGTGCCTCTTTTAATGAGCAATGTGTCTACCCAGGGCCTAATGTGGGACCTGGCATGGAGCAGTTTCCCTGCACAGTGTTGGCCACTGTGTCCCTCGGCAGGGACAGCCTCATCCAATCCTTAGACATGATTGGCCCACTTGTCTCTACTGTCCAGCAAAAAGCCCAAAGGCCTAAGTGACACTCAAGACCCTCCAAGTCATGCTCCACACCTCAGCTCTCAATCTTTTTACTTGCACTACCACTGAGTTTTCCAAACTGGGGTTCCTCTTCACCTGGATAACCAGAGGCACAAAACAGGGCGAGCCTAGATTGTGCCAGACGGAGTGCCATGGACCAGTTCGGGTGTGGGTGGGGACTCTCCAGGCCCTGCTGCTCTCCTCTGAGAAGTATCTGCTCCCGCAGTGCAGGCCGCTGGGGCTCTGTTTCCCTGCCCGAGTCTATCCCTTCATGACCTCTGCTGATGAAACCAGGGGCGGAGACCCAGCTTCCGGATCCAGTCCAGAAGGTTGGTGGGCTGGGTCACCAAATTACAGGAACCTGGAAGTGGGACACAAGACTGGCTTGGTTGCCTTTAGAAGCTGGACCCGTGAGGTCACGTGAAGGTGGGGGCTAAAGATGCCTGGCCTCCCAGAAGACTGTGATACCCTTGGGGGCCTGGGTGATGACGAGTGAGCAAAAGCACTGCTCAGAGGTGCAGAAAGAAGCAGAAGCAAGAGACACTGAGGATGACGAAGCAGCTGCTTTTGTTCCTGATGATTTTTCAGCCTCAAGTGGGGCCTTGGGGAAGCCTGGGTGAGGTCTACTGCTCCTCAGTACCACAGGCACCTCTAATTCCTTAAAACAAGTTTCCCTTCAACATAAACTTGAGAGGGTTTCTGTTTCTTGCAAACAACAAAAAATCTCTAAGATTACATAATTTTTACCATTTTTTTAAAGACAAAAATGTTATTATTTGGGTAAAATGAGTATCGACACATGATGAAGCAGAATGTAGAATTCACGAGAATACTGAGAATTAAGAATGAAATCCTTTCTAAAATAAGATTCCAAAACGCTAAAGTTATAAAGGAAAAGATTAGTTTGACTCCAAGGAAACTTAAAACTATGCATTACAAGACACGATACTGATTTAGGTAAACATCCCTCTTCACCACCACCCTTTACTGAGAACACATTTTCTCTGAGGACAGATATGGGAAGCACGCACATTTACATAGCAGTTACCTCTGGGGAGAGGACAGGAATCATGAGACATGGTCAGAGGTGACTGTAGCCTTTTCTGTTGTCTTCAAATTTTTTAATTAAAAATCAGTATGTCTTTTGTTCAATGAAAACTTCATTAAATTTCCAAAAACATATTCAAAACACGAGTGTATTTGTGGTGGACTGATTCATCCAAAACCCACTGTAAGTTCACTGGTAGTTTAAGACACATGACATAGCATAAAGTCTCAGCATTGTCATAGTGAGACTTCGTGGCTTACTACAAGTCATAGTGGCTTACCTGGTTCCTGAATATGCTTTCTTCCCATCTGTCTCCATATTTATTCACTTGTCCTGTCCACTTGGTGGAGTTCTTCCATTCTTCAAAACTCATCTGGAAGTGTCACCTCCTCCAGGAAGCTCTCCCTGACTACATCAGTCTCTCTCCCCACCTTGCTCCACTGGTCTCTTATGCACTAATCAGATCTTTCTCTGTGTACTCTGGATAGACTCCTGGGATTCCATTTACCAGTCAGCAAACCTGAGCAGCATCTTTATGTTCTTGGTGTCTAGCAGAGAAATAGCATGGGGAACTGACACAGAACAAGCCTTAAAGCCAGACAGATCCACTATGTGACACAAGGCAGCTGACTTAATCTCCCTGGGTCCATTTTTCCCTGTGTTACTGTGAATATCAATGTAACAATGGCCCAGGACAGGAAGAAGGTGGTTGATAGAATGATTATCTGTCTTAATACTCCCTTATATTTGAACAGTTTTAAATTAAAAACAAAAACCTTTACCAACCCAGAGAGGTAAGCAAGGAAGGGTTATTAGACCCATCTTAAGGGTAAATAACTGAAGTTCAGAGAAATTACATAGGGACTTTAAAAGGAAAGCGAATAGGACCAAGGGTTAGAACACTTGGGTGGAAATGCTGATTCTTCCACTCCCCAGCTGTGGGTGCTTAGACAAGTCTATAGGACTCTCTGGATATCAGTTTCCCCATCTATTTTTTTCAGATTTATTATTTCTTTAATCTTAATTAATTTATTTTTTTAATCAAAGGATAATTGCTTTACAGAATTTTGTTGTTTTCTGTCAAATATTGACAAGAATCAGCCATAGGTATACATGTGTCCCCTCCCCATCTTAAATGGGAGTTCCTAGGTGATCTCGACCTTCAAGCGCTTCTCAGCATTGATATTCTCGTTTCCTGTAACCTACCCAGGACCCTTCTTAGCAGGACAGCAAAAAAAGACTGCAAGTCCCAGGGCAGAGCCCTTAGTTACTCCCAGGAAACCAGCTGGAGGACTTGCTTTGAGAATCGGTCAAATTTTGATTCAGCCAAATGGAGCTTCAAGCCTGGGGGTCAGTCATGCCCAGAACTGAGACTGGGGGAATGCCAGCATCAAACTGCGTGTAAATATAAACACAAACGCAAAGCCAAACAGGAAACCTCAGGAAAGTCCAAAGGTCAGAGTCTAACTTTTGAGGCACTGACACGCTGAAGAAAAAAGCTGGATTTGGGTGTCAGAAACCTTTCTGTCGCAAAAATGAACCGTTGCGTGCACCAAACTAAAGTCTCGAAGGCAAAGATTTGGGTTTGGTCAGGCCTACACTAGAGCCAAGACAGAGTCCTTATAGGAGCCTGCGGTGGCCTCCAGATCCATTCTGAGGACTCCCTCCCCCAGGCACACACAAGGGCTTACCCACACGGAGCCGGGCAAGGCCAGATGCACGGGCATAAATGAGCATTTCTGTCCCTGGAGAAAGGTTCATAGTACAGCCCTTTCTCCAGATCCTGCTCTGATTTAACATTTTAATGAACAACCCCAAGAGGAGTATGAACTGTGAACGCCCTAAGGATGCTGATCACACTGACCTCTTCCAGGTCACAAAATGAAGACAATCCTCTGGAGGCTCTCTCTCCTCAGGAGGAGGTTCTGGGCAGTTTCCCTGTGAGCCTCCAGGAAAATACATCCTACATTCACTGGTGGTAGGTTCCAAGCTACTGGTTTAGCTCAAGGAAAGAAGCAAAAGGTCATTGCTGCTTCAAATAGGTACTGCCCCTCCCCAACTATATGCAAAGCATTAGGCTAGGCTGGGGACGACAGAGGATGAGATGGTCGGTCGGATGGCATCACCGACTCAATGGACATGAGTTTGAGTAAGCTCTGAGAGTTGGTGATGGACAGGGAAGCCTGGCGTGCTGCAGTCCATGGGGTCGCAAAGAGTCAGACACGACTGAACGACTGAACTGAACTGAACTGTGAGAGACATGAGGACAAAAAGAGACCCAGCCCCGTCTAAAGAGGTCTGTCAATTAACCCTATAATCATTCCATTAATCAAAATTCATGCGTTACCTACGTGGCCTCATATAATACCATAGTCCTGTGAGGCAAACATTATTATCCCCATTTTACAGATGCCAAAAGTGGGGACACAAACAGATCAGGTCACGTGCCCAAGCTCAGACAGCTGGCAAACTGCAGAGCCAGAATTTGAACACAGGTCCACCGCCTCCCCCAAAGAGGATGATCTTTCCACAGTCCTCTATCATCACTACTCTAGGATTGGGGTCAGACTGCAGGGGAGAGGAGGAGGAGGAGAGATTCCCCAAGACATTGGCCCAGAATATAAGGAACTACTAATCTTTTTATCTGCTACACAGTAGGTGCTCAATATTCTCAGGGTGAAGGATGGAAGGTGAGAGCCACTTCTGAGGTCCAAATCGCCACCCAAATTCAGGGCATCTTCTGAAAGGGAGCTGCAAAAACACATTATTCTCCTTTGGCCCAAAGCCTCAGGGTGTCTGCCCTAGAATATTCCGGCAGAGGAGGCCCAGGAAAGTGCGGTGGGTCTGGAGAAAAGGAACGAACTCCTCTGAGCAGGGGAATGGGGTGGGGCAGCCTGCAAAGGCCAAAGAAAATGCCTGGGACGGCAGTGCTGGAAAAGACAAAGAGGAGAGGGGAGGGGAGAGGAGACTGTAAACTCCTGAACAGCCTGGCCAAGGTGAACCCCGGCTCCTGGCGCCTTCTCCTCCGCATTCATTCCACAACACCAGCCAAATCTCAGAACCAGAGTCTGGGGGGAGGGGGGCCTCCCTGTTCCCAGCGAGAAGTTTCGTTCAGGACTGTGGCGGGAAGGTCGGCTTCCCAGAAAGGGAGTGACTTAGGAGACGAACTCGTGGGGCTCCAAAGATGAAAACCCAAACAGATGCAGTGAGGCGCTGAGCAAACCCGCAAACGACCGGGCGGCAGGTCATCCAGAACATTGAGGGTATGTTCCTTGACCTGGGAAGTCTATCGTCGAGGTGACTGCGAGGCCCCCCAAATGGTTCCTCGCCCACCGCCCCCCGCCCCCCGCCCCAGGCACTCGACGGGGAGGACGCAGATGCTAGCGATGCACTCGGTTCTCTAAGATTTGGGGAAGGGGCAGGTTTCTGGGGCGCGGTAAGGACCATCACTGCTCGGGTCACATCTTTGAAGGTCAAGGAAAGAGGCGCTGTCGCGACCCCAGATCCCTCCCATCTCGGTCCCCCTCTCACCTCCTCCCGCGCCAGGGCTGCACCCCGGCACCGGGGCATCTTGGCAGCGAAGGCGGCAGCACCCGCCGGGGAGCTGAGGTCCTCTGCCGTGACGGCCAGGAACTCGGCGACGCTGAGCTGCTCGGGCATGGCGGGCGCGAGGTGTGGGCTCCGGGGATGCCGGAATGGGGCCCGGGGGCGCTTGCTGCACTGCGCGGGGCCGGCCTCTCCTCCAGCAGCGACTGCCGTCCGGGACTCGGCGCACCCCGCCCCCTCCCTGCTGCCCCGCCCCCTTCTCCCGGCACAGCGGCGTTCCCCTTCACGTCCCGGGAGCCCCGACCTTTCCCACCCCGCCCGCTTCTCAGCCCCGCCCACGGCCTTCCAGCCTCTCTCCGCACCTTAGCCGGGACTACCCGGCCGCTACCCTCGCCAGGCTCCTCGGCCCCGCCCCTGGCCTCCCGGCTCCTAAGAACCCCGCCCCTGGTTCACTGCCCCGCCCTCGGACCATCGGCCCCGCCCCTGGCCTCCCGGCTTCCGACAGCTCGGCCCAGGGCTCACTGCCCCGCCCCCGGCCCATCAGCCCCGCCCCCTGGTCTCCCTGCTCCTAAGAACCCCGCCCCTGACTCACTGCCCCGCCCCAAGCCCAGCGGCCCCGACCACTGGCCTCCCGGCTCCCCAGAATTTAGCTCCGGGCTCACTGCCCCGCCTCGGGTCTATCGGTCACGCCCCCTGGCCTTCCGGCTCCTGAGAACCCCGCCCCTGGCTCGCTGCCCCGCCCCCGGCCCATCGGCCCCGCCCCCTGGCCTCCCTGCTCCTAAGAACCCCGCCGCTGGCTCACGTCCCCGGCCTTGGCCCTTCAGAGGGCTCCGCGTCCCCTCTCCCTTCCTCTCTGTGGGGTCCTTAGGCCTCCCTTCAAGCTCCTCCGTCCGGCCTCGCTCTCGGCTCGTCTAGGGCTCCGCCCCTTTGTCGGGCTCCCGGGCCTCTGAACTTACCCTCCCTCCCAAAGCCCCGGGGCCCCATCTCCGCACCCCTCCATGCGCCCTGTGTCTTCCTCTCCTGTCCATTGGTTCCCAGCCCTCACGATCTCACCCCTTCAGCCTTATCCCCACCCCGTCCGTCATCCCCCTCTCGAGCCCGGGATCGGAGGACTCTCGGTGCCCTGCCTGCCCCCCGGATCGCCCCACCCCTCCCTTGCCCGGCACACCAAGCTCCGTGCCTCTGCTCGGCCAGGACCGCCCACACCCGCCCCTTGGCTCCGTCCCTAACCGTGGACTGTGCCTCTGGGGTCTGTGTGTCTTGGTGACCTAGCTAGCTGTGATTTAAGGAAAAGTACGTCCCTTCTTGGAACCTCAGTTTCGTTCTCTGCAGAATGGGAAGTCTAATTCCACTTGGTTGTGATTTGGGGAGGAGGGAACCTCACACGTGCGTGTATCCAATAGGCGCTCCGGAACTGGTTCCCCACTACCCCTTACTCCGCCCTCTCACCCACAACTTCATTCTTTCTGGGCTCAGGCTCCCGCCTTTCACCGACTCACCATCCCGACCAGGTTAAAGACTGCCACTCCTTCACACCCACTAACCTCTGCTTCTTGGGAAAGGACGTATATATTTGTGTGGATGAGGGATGGTGTTCAGGATAAAAATCCACTTAGGTTTAGTTCTGGAGCATGAGGTCCTCTAGAAGATATCAGGAAGCACGCGCTGAAGAACATTGGCTTTAGAATCAGATAGATCTCAGTTCCCATTCTGGCACTGCTATGGACCAAGTTGTATACAGCTGAGTAAATTGCTTGCTTCTCTAAGCTTGAATTTTCCCCCCTTTGAAATGACCCAGTGGTATTTCACCCCACTGCTTTCTTGAGGGGATTATATAGCCAGCCAGTAGTTACAGCACATGGGCCCAGTAGTTGTGGTACATGAGCTTCATTGCTCCATGGTGTATGGAGTCCTTCTGGACCAGGGACCAAACCTATGTCCCCTGCATTGGCAGGCAGGTCCCCATCCACTGGGCCACCAGGGAAGTCCCTCTGGATGTATCTTAAAGGTTGGACCCCTTGCTCTTCTCACTCTACCCAGGCTTCCCGGACACCTTTATGCGATCCCAACAGCTCTCCTAACACCATTAATGTTGATGTCTTCTATATTCATTTCCTCTGTAACAAATTACTGCAAATTTGGTGGCTTAAAACACCATCTATTTATTCTCATAGTCCTGAAGGTCCGGAGAAGGCAAAGGCACCACACTCCAGTACTCTTGCCTGGAAAATCCCATGGATGGAGGAGCCTGGTAGGCTGCGGTCCATGGGGTCGCTAAGAGTCAGACATGGCTGAGCGACTTCACTTTCACTTTTCACTTTCACGCACTGGAGAAGGAAATGGCAACCCACTCCAGTGTTCTTGCCTGGAGAACCCCAGGGACAGTGGAGCCTGGTGGGCTGCCGTCTATGGGATCACACAGAGTTGGACACGACTGAAGTGACTTAGCAGCAGCAGCAGCAGTCCTGAAGGTCAGAAGTCTGAAGTTTATTGGACTGAAATCAAGGTATCAGTGGGGCCACACTCCCTCCAAAGGCTCTAGAGGAAAATCTGTTTCCTCACCTTCTCCTGCTTCTAGAACTACATTCCTTGCATTCTTTGGCCTGTGGCAAAGTTCACATCTTAAAGGCCATCTTGCTTCTGTGTCATATCACCTTCTTTTCTGTGGTCAAATTTCCCTTGATCTCCATCTTATAAGCATGTTTATGATTATATTTTTGACCCACCCAGATGATCTAGGATAACCTCCCCTTCTCAAGATCCTTAAATTAATCACAGCTGCAAAATTCCTTTTGCCATAGACAATAACAGGTTCCAAGGATTAGGACCTGGGTATCTTTGGGGGCCATTACTGAGCCTATCACATCTTGTAAGACTCTTTCTCCAACCTGGAACTGTCTCTGGCTTAAGATCCATGTATATAACCATTTATGGGATGGTTTCATGTGACTATCTCACAGACAGTCTATGTGTCCAAAACTGAACTGGCCGTCTTGTACCTCACTCCTTCTCTCCCTGTCTTGGTGGAAGGTACCACTGTGCCCCCTGGAAATCATACTGCCCATCTCCTCCCAGCAGCCTCCACTCAATCATTATCACTACTTCCTAAATGTCTCACAGACATGGTCACCTTCTCCATCTCCTGGCCAACCCTAGTTCAGATCACACCACCTCTCATCTCCTCACCAGTCTCTCTGCCCCCAGTCTTGCATATCTGGTCAGCTGCTCCCCTGCTTAGAATTCTCCAATGACCCCCATTGCTGTCTGCATGAAAGACAAACTTCATGGCTATCTAGTCCTATATGATCTCTTGCTCCTGCCATTTACATCCTTACCTCTCATCTCTCCTTGCCTGCCATGAACTGAAAAGAAAAGACAGTAGAAAGTGAAGTCGCTCAGTCGTGTCTGATTCTTTGTGACCCCATGGACTGTAGCCTGCCAGGCTCCTCCATCCATGGGATTTTCCAGGCAAGAATACTGGGTTGCCATTTCCTTCTGCAGGGGATCTTCCTGACCAAGGGTTCGAACCAGGGTCTCCTGCACTGCAGGCAGACACTTGATCTGAGCCACCAGGGGAACCCAGCTCTCTCATTATTCTTCCCATAACATACCCCAACCTCCTTTCAACCGCTCAGATAAGATGTCAATTCCTCTAGGAAGCCTTCCCTAATGTTTTTCCTGGGACTCCCAGTGGACTCAGTACCCACTGCCCCAGCACTTCTCACTGAAGGCTGTAGTCACCTATTTGCTGGTATGGGTCTCTGGCCCACTTATTTATTGAACACTAACTATGTACTGGGGCTTCCCTCATAGCTCAGTCAGTAAAGAATCTGCCTGAAATGTAGGAGACCCAGGTTTGATTCCTGGGTCAGGAAAATCCCCTGGAGAAGGAAATGGCAACCCACTGTAATCATCTATTTGCTGGTCTGGGTCTCCGGCCCACTTATCTATTGAGCACTTACTATGTGCTCTGATTTCCCTGGTGTCTCAGATGGTAAAGAGTCTGCCTGCAGTGCAGGAGACCTGGGTTCGATCCCTGGGTCAGGAAGATCCCCTGGAGAAGGAAATGGTAACCCACTGGAAAATCCCATGGATGGAGGAGCCTGGCAAGCTACAGTCCATGGGGTCACAAAGAGTTGGATACAACTGAGCGAGTTCACTTTCTACTTTCTACTATGTACTAGTGACAGAGCCAAGGGCTATACAAGCAATACCTCACTCAATACCTAAAACAACCCAAGGAGGTGGGGAACATTATTCTTCCTGTCTCTGTGTTAGAGATGGAAAAAACCAAGGCTTAGAGGGGTTGTTAATTTGTGAAAAGTCAGAATGAATGACCCACTTATTTTGGCTTCCCTGGTGGCTCAGAGGGTTAAGTGTCTGCCTGCAATGTGGGAGACCTGGGTTCGATCCCTGGGTTGGGAAGATCCCCTGGAGAAGGAATTGGCAACCCCACTCCAGTACTCTTGCCTGGAAAATTCCATAGAGGGAGGAGCCTGGTAGGCTACTGTCCATGGGATTGCAAAAAGGCGAACATGACTGAGAACTTCACTCTCAGAATGAGTGGATAATGTAAACAAGACTGCAACCCAGGTCTGCATAACTCCAAAGCTTTTGCTTTAGTTTTATTATTATCACCAAACTATGCTACCTAACTAGAAAATATTGCCTTTTATAAATTAAGTAGATATACAAGTTCCATATAGGCTCTCCTATAATTAAAACATGACATCCACCAGAGGCAGAATATGATCAAAGTACCCTGCAGGCTAACAAATTCCTCACTATTTTGTAAAGCAACCTCTTCAGTGTCAAATCCTCTAACAGATACTCAGACCAAGAGACACGTCCTTTGAGGGTGGGTCACTTTCTGAAGCACAAGTTCTATTTCAAGACTTTTGGGAGAAAATGAATAATAAATAATAAATAAATTACAGTACTATTTGGAAATAAAATAAACCCAGAGCAATATCAGGGTAGGTTAAAAATTTTGTTTTGCTTTGGCCACACTGCACTGCATGTGGAATCTTAGTCCCCTGACCAGGGATTGAATGTGGACCCCAGCAGTGAAAACACTGTCCCAACCACTGGACTGCCAGGGAACGTTTCAGGAA